CGGATGCGATCTTCAGGGCTCGAGCCTTGAACAGACTCGCCGCCCTCAAGAGACCCTTTCTTCAATGTACCCTACAGAGCCGAGCAGCGAGTTGAGTCGCCAGGGCCGCCCTCGTATTCGTTACCCGACCCATCACAACCGCTTTGTAGACGTTGCAAATCACGGACATCCAGTCTTGACTGAGTAGAGCTAACAGCTCCTCGAAGGTGTTGCGCATCGTTCTTGTCGTCATCCCCAGTTAGTTGTTCGCTGTCCACCGTTCGCCGTTCGCTGCTCGTCATTTGCAGTTCGTTATTCGCTGCTCACCGGTCGTTGTTCGTCATTCGCCGTTCGTTGTCCGCTGTTCGCTGTTCGACGTTCACCGTTTGTTGTTCGTCATTTAAAATAAGTTGTTCGCCCTTCTCTATCTGCTGTTCAGCGATAGCCGTTCTTTGTTCGTTGTTCGCCGTTCGATGTTCGATGTTCGACGTTCACCGTTTGTTGTTCGTCATTCGCCATTCTTTGTTGGTGGTTCTCTGTTTGATGTTAGTCATTCGATGTTCGTTGTCTGCTGGTCGCTGTTCGACGTTCACCGTTTGTCGTTCGTCATTTAAAATAAGTTGTTCGCCGTTCTCTATTTGCTGTTCAGCGTTCGCCGTTTGTTGTCCGCTGGTCGCTGTTCGACGTTCACCATTTGTTGTTCGCCATTTGTAATTTGTTGTTCGCCGTTCTCTGTTTCATGTTAGTCATTCAATGTTCGTTGTCCGCTGGTCGCTGTTCGATGTTCACCGTTTGTTATTTTTCGTTCGTCATTCGCCATTCGTTGTTCGCCATTCGCCGTTCTTTGTCCGCTGTTCGTTGTTCGATGTTCGACGTTCACCGTTTGTTATTCATCATTTGAAATTAGTTGTTCGCCGTTCTCTATTTGTTATTCGCCATTCGCCGTTCATTGTTCGCTGTCTGCTGTTCGATGTTCAACGTTTGTTGTTCGTCACTTGTCGTTCACCAGTCGTTGGGCGTTCGTCATTCGCCGTTATTTGTTTGCTGCTCTTAGTTCGCTTGTCGCTGTTAGACGTTCACCTTTTGTTGTTCGTAATTCGCCATTCGCTGTTCGCTGGTCGCTGTCCGATGTTCACCGTTTGTTGTTCGTCATTCGCCAGTCATTCTTCGCTGTTCTCTATTTGTTGTTCGTTGTTCGCCGCTCGCTGCTCGACGTTCAGCGTTGTTGTTCGTAGTTCGCCATTCGCTGTCCGCTGGTCGCTGTTCGATGTTCACCGTTTGTTGTTGGTCATTCGCCATTCTTTGTCCGCTGTTCGTTGTTCGTTGTTCGATGTTCGATGTTCACCGTTTGTTGTTGGTCATTCGCCATTCGTTGTTCGCCATTCGCCATTCTTTTTCCGCTGTTCGTTGTTCGTTGTTCGCTGTTCGATGTTCAACGTTTGTTGTTCGTCATTCGCCATTCGTTGTTCGCCGTTCTCCGTTTGATGTTCGCTATTCGACGTTCGTTGTCCGCTGGTCGCTGTTCGACGTTCACCATTTGTTGTTCGCCATTCGCCGTTCGTTGTTCGCTGTTCGTTGTTCGCTATTCGCTGTTCGATGTTCGACGTTTACCGTTTGTTGTTCGTCATTTAGAATAAGTTGTTCGCTGTTCTCTATTTACTGTTCAGCATTCGACGTTCGTTGTCCGCTGTTTGTTGTTCGCTGTTCGTTGTTCGCCGTTCGCTGTTCGACGTTCACCGATTGTTTTTCGTCATTCGCCATTCCTTTTTCGCCATTCTCCGTTTGTTGTTCGCCATTCGCCGTTCTTTGTCCGCTGTTCGTTGTTCGATGTTCGACGTTCACCGTTTGTTATTCATCATTTGAAATTAGTTGTTCGCCGTTCTCTATTTGTTATTCGCCATTCACCGTTCGTTGTTCGCTGTCTGCTGTCCGATGTTCACCGTTTGTTGTTCGTCATTCGCCAGTCATTCTTCGCCGTTCTCTGTTTGTTGTTCGTTGTTCGCTGGTCGCTGCTCGACGTTCAGCGTTGTTGTTCGTAGTTCGCCATTCGCTGTCCGCTGGTCGCTGTTCGATGTTCACCGTTTGTTGTTGGTCATTTGCCATTCGTTGTTCGCCATTCGCCATTCTTTGTCCGCTGTTCGTTGTTCGTTGTTCGCTGTTCGATGTTCAACGTTTGTTGTTCGTCATTCGCCATTCGTTGTTCGCCGTTCTCCGTTTGATGTTCGCTATTCGACGTTCGTTGTCCGCTGGTCGCTGTTCGGCGTTCACCATTTGTTGTTCGCCATTCGCCGTTCGTTGTTCGTTGTTCGCTATTCGCTGTTCGATGTTCGACGTTTACAGTTTGTTGTTCGTCATTTAGAATAAGTTGTTCGCCGTTCTCTATTTACTGTTCAGCATTCGACGTTC